CTATTCCCTTACTCTCAGGCAGTGTAAGATTAATTTTCTTCTTCATGGTATGTAGCCATCCCCAAATCCAATCCTTTAGAACAAAGAGGAACATCATAATAACATCAAACTTATCCTCACATGTCAAGAAAGGAAACCCCCAATTCTGACTCAATAAACTGCACAGATTCTGGAACATCCAGTATTTTTGTTATAATTGTTCCATAAATAGCCTGACCCAGATTTTATATTTTTAACTATATTAAAAAAAACTGGGAACTTAAAGGCTGAATCTCTCTCTGGCTTAGCAATCTTTTCCAGTTGTACTTCTTACTAGCCACGTAGTCTTCATCAAATTATTTAATTCTATGTATCAGTTTTATCCTCTGCAAAACAAGGATAACCATAATGGTACCCTTATGATGTGAGCACAAAATTACTACAAAGTACATCCAATGCCTGGCACATAGTAAGTGCTCAATAAATATTCCTTGATTTTTGTTTCAGTGATCATTACCATGATTGCTTTGACAACCTGTAGTCAGATCCTGGCAAACCTAACTGGTTGTTTTGGCATGATCAACTTTTGATTTTCTGCAGAACTCAAAGTCAACATTGAAATGTTCAATTTCCTTTTCCCTGCTGATCAGAACTTCTATGGATGCAATTGATTCTACAGCTGATTGCAAGCAAGATTTAAAAATCTGAAATCAACTGTTAGCTGCATCATAGGCAAAAAGGGACATAGCTGTCATAGGACAATCAACCGGCACCACAAGTGCATAGAAAGAGAAATAAGTGCTGACTTATGTGTCATTCCCAAATCAGGGCACTTCATGGAAAATGGCATCATTATTTTTTTTTATCTGATGCTGAAACCATTCTCAACATTCTTTTGGATTCAGTATTGGTTTTAATTTTTTGCTTTTGGGGTCCTTGCTAAATCTAGAATTTGTCCAAGTACCCATTCATATTCCATGTAGCTGTATGTATCTGAGATCCAACAAAAGAGCTTAAATGAAAAGAGGTTTACTTTGTTAAGAATGATTTTGGCATTGGCAGGCCTGGGATAGAACATCAGCTCTGTAATAGAATCATTCTTCCAGACCCATTTAACTTTCTGCTCCATCTCACTTAGCAGGAGGCTTCCACCCTTACGGTGCCAGTGGGCTGCATTTCCGTACCACATCTGCACTATGCGCCGGGGGTGAAATATGTGTGTCCTAAATGAAAGGGAGTCGTGGGACATGAATATGTGATTCTGCATCATGTCACCCTGAACAAAACTGATTTGGGGCAACACCAAAAGACAGGCTGAAGAGCAGTTAGAAAACTAACAGTATCCACCTAAAGGGAAGAAGCCCAGTCTTACCGTCTATAACAAATAACATATGTTCGTGTACATGTGTATATTCAGCCGGGCTGGCAGAACACCAGCTGTCCTCGAGCAGCAGATGCCTTGTCTATCAGAACCGTGATGTTATCCTCAATTACTCCCCCCGCCTCCAGGCTCATCCCCTGCAAGCCCTTGCAATGGGGATTGGCAAACTTTTCTCTGTTTAAGTCAACATGGAAATACTTTGGGCTCTGTGAGCCAAATGGTCTCCACTGCAGCTTCTCAGTTTTTCCACTAATGCCCAAACTACCCGAGACAATATTTAAATGAATGGGTGTGGCTGTATTCCAGTTAAACATTATTTACTAAGCAGACAGCAAGCTGAGTTCGTCTCCTCTGCCATTGTTGGCTGGTCCTTCCTCTATAATATTGCTTTTTAATTCTAAAATCAGAATCAACGCAAATATCACCCATTCTACAGTACACATGTAAGGTTAGTTCCTCCCTCCACTAACTTTCAGAGCACCTCCTATACATTCATATTAAAATGTACATTAGATGTTATGATGATGCTTTTTTATCTATTTTTTTTTTCTTAGTGAGTTCTCTCTCTCTCAGTGGAATCATGCCTAGAAGCACAGTAATACAGTTACACTTAAAACCTGCTCTGTTTTGTTCTTTTTTCTCTACTTTTTTTTTTTTAATGGATGCTTTTTTTAATTTGAGAGAGAGAATGAGAGACAGCACTCTCTCTCAGGGGTGGGGGAGAGGGAGGGCCCGAGGGAGAGGGAGAAGCAGCCTCCCCACTGAGCAGGAAGCCTGACACAGGGCTTGATCCCAGGACCCTGAGATCATGACCTGAGTTGAACTCAGACACTTAACCGACTAAGCCATCCAGGTGCCCCCTTTTTCTCTATTTCTTTCACATATTATATATTTCTCTCCAACCATACTCATCTCAGTAGAAGAACTCAGGAATATTATTTCCCATTCCCATCCTCCTGGATGAACACAGAAATGTTGTGGCTTATTCATAAGTCCTCAAACTATAGCCTGTGCTGCAACATTTCCTTTAAGCTTTATGATTCTTAGATTGTACGGTATCCTTTAGCACCCTCAAATGTACCCATTTTTATTTAATTGTGTACACACAAAAACACATATTTCAGGGTACATTTCCTATATATATATTTTTTTTCTCCTCTTCTTGTCATTTTCCTTGACTTTGAGGATCTGTGTTTGGATTCATTTCAACAATTTCCAATTTCAACATTTTCTCGAATATATTTTTAGATAAGATAAGGTGATGATCTTCTTTCTGGATCCTTCCCCAAACATTTCTTTTACCTTGAGAAATGAATCATATTTTGATGAACAAGGGATTTGGGGCTTGAGTTTGTTTGTTTCTTTGTTTTTTCTTTGTATGTTGTACATTCAACTGTCAATCAGGTTCTAATATTTCAAGTGACAAATATGATATATATAGATATGTAAATTTGTAAGTAATTTTAAAATATCTAAAAGTGTAAAATTTTCTTTTATTTGGGTTTTAGGTAATTGGCCATGATTTACCTAGGTTTAATTCTTATTCTAACCCCTCCTCAAAAACTCTATTAAACTCATAAATTCAGTATGTTCTTTACCTCAAGGAAAAAAAAAATATTGTCCATTCCTTCATTTACTCTTTTGCTGCCTGGGAACATATGTCATTCACATGAAAGGTCTAATGAATCTCATCTTGTACCACAATTCCCAAATTGGGGGTATTTTTTGCTCTCTGATTTTTAGTTACTTCTTCCAGTCTGATACATTATCAAGTTCCAGGACAATAATTTGGATCATATCAATGATCATTCATACCCTAATCATATACTGATACTTTGTTGTTTATGAGTTGCAGAAACATGACTCTCAGTTACAGAAATCTCTGTGTAGTACCCTGACAACACCGGTGCTCGTTTCCTCTGCTCAGTACACTTGCTTGGTGATAACTGTTCTGCCTGTGTTTTTCTTTGTTGCTTTGCCCCCCTGGTTATAGCGGCTTTGTTTGTGCCCCTTGGCACTCTTATGTAGCCTCTAGAGGTACCCTTACCAATGGCATTCTGGCAAATGGTGGAGTCACAGAGCTCTTCTCTTGTGAGACAAAAGGAGGTTAGCAAATGGGGTGTCAGTTCCTTGACAAGGTGAGAGAAGGAAGTCTGTTCTAGAGTTTCCATATAAACTCTCACCTGCCAGGCTTCATAGTGTCGAGCTCCTCAGTTTCCCTTCAACTTTCCTTATAGAACAATAAGCCCGAGTGACTTCTGGGCCTCTCCCCAGGTTCTCTGGTGCTGATTCCTCTGTTCTACTCTGGTAGAATGGCTTTCTACTCTGAGACTCTGATCAAGAACTAGTCGTGTCTTTCTAACCTGCTTCTCCAACAGCTTCAGGAGTCATCTGCCTAGCTCATGAGAACTAAAATGCATTGGAGCAGGGAAGGGAAGAAACTACAATCTTCCATTAATAACCTATATGTATACAGGATGGAGAATGTTAACTAAACTTGTTGTGGTGACCATTTCACAGTGTAAGTGTAAGTGAAGGTATTTTGCTGCACATCTTAGACATATACACAGCTGTATGTCAGTTATATCTCAAAAACATTTTAAAAATCAAAATTAAAAAAGCTTATATATGTTCAAATACATAACGATTTGATTAATGACTATAATAACCCTAGCTCAAACTAATAGTCAATAGACTTACATATATAATAATGTTCACATATAAGCTCAAATATATAAAATCTTTACTCAAAAATTGTATTCTAAATCCCAGCTTAGAGTCTTACAAAGATAGTCATGAAAGTATCATAGTTGAACTTCAATTTAATGATTTAGAAAATTTGTCATAGGAGATAAAAACAAAATATAAAGTAGCTACACAGCAGAGATCTGTAAGTGAAGAGAAAGCCCCAGATCATCAGAGTGGCTAGAGACCTAGATCATAACCCATCAACTGCAGGGTAAGCTCTACATTCAGGAGAACATGGTGTCAATTTCTTCTTGGCTATTTTCTAAATACATGAATTTGGGAAAATCACCTCACTATGGTATGGTGACTTATACATCTTTAAAATGGTACACAAAGTACTTTAATGATTATTTTATGTTTTAAAATAAGGTATGTAAAAGCTTATGAGCATTTAAAAAGTTTTATTGAATATGGTAGCTATTACTTGCATTTTTAATGTTATAGTTTGGTCATAAACTGAAAGCTTAAAAGACATGAAGCAAAAGATTTCAGACATTATAATGTCTATTTTTATTCCTGCAAATTGTCACCTTGAATGTGTTGGTATCTTTGTAGCATGATACATGAGGAAACTGTATGGTCAAAACCTGTGTCAAGCAAGAATTGCTGGTGTTTTCCCATTAACAACTTTTTTTCTTTCCCTGATACAAACCATTATCTATACTTATAAGTTCAGAAATTAACATAAATAATATTATAATCTAGAGCCAATATCTATATCTAGACCCAATATTCTTTAACATTTTAAGCCGCATGTAAATATTAAAATATTTTGAAATTTCTTCAGATTTCTGCACACACAAACAGAAAATGAAAAACTGGTCTTCAAATGATGATTTTTTTGATTCTCAAAAATATATTAACTGCCGAAGTAAACAATGATTATTCTTACCCATATCCGACATTTCAGGTACAGTAACGATGTATGGTCCATCTGTGAACTTTGGAGCATTGTCATTGATGTCTTGTACTTTGATTATGAACTCGGATTCAGGTTCAAGAGGCTTGTTTGTTCGTCTGTCAATAGCTTGGGCATGAAGCACATAGTGGGTTTTCTGCTCTCTGTCTAGGCTTTTCGTTGAGTGGATGTCACCAGTGGTATCATCAATGATAAATATAGTCCCAGCACCTTCTCCAGTAAGAATGTACTTGACAGACCCATCACCTTTGTCTGAATTGGAGTGCAGCTAAAAAATAAAAATTAAATAATTTAGCTTGCAATTATATTCCAACCTAACATCATGTTACCTTAAAATTATCTATATATAATTTTTAATTTACTTTAATCATCACTTTTATCTCCACAGAGTCTCATAGATTACTACAGTCATTTATTTTTCTACAGTTTTTCTCTTCTTGGTACTGATATGGATATTTTTATCATGATCTAAAAAAGGCAATTATTGACTTATGGGAAATTAATAGATAATAATAATTAAAAGAAAAATAATAACCTTTAATGTTATTCTACTAAATCACCACATCACTAACTACAGAAAATAGAATTGGAAAAAGAAATCACCAGTAAACACTTTCCCTTCAATACTTTCAGGAATAATGATTTTTAAAAATTAATTGTTTGGCATTTTATTTAAAATTTAAAATTTTAAAAAGAAAAATATATATGGTAGGAGAAAATTCAAATTGTTAAAAATTTCCACAAGAGAGGCACTTATTTGTTACAGAGATATTTATTTTATAATTTGAAAAATTTTTATAAAGAATCTTTTCCAAATTAATTGTTCAGATTTAGAACATTAAGAACATTAAAATAGATTAAAATGGAACATTTTATTTTTTAAGTTTGTCTGTTTCTTTGTTTATTTATTTATAGTAACCTCTGTTCCTAGTGTGGGGTTTGAACTCATGACCCTGAGATCAAGAGTCACATGTTCTACTGACTGAGGTCAGCCAGGCATCCTTTCTCTTTCAGTTATGAAACTCTAATTCAAAATGTGTATCATAGTGGTCCATTTAATCAGTACATAGGCCTATTTTTATAATTAATTAAAACACAGTAACAAATTCTCACTCATTAAAATGAAAATAATGGAATATCATTTTAATAGATATTGTAGAAGTAATATTTCAGCAGAAAAGAAGTATTTAGTAAGAAAGATAAATAGATATTAAGATAATTATAAAACTTTTTTGTTATTTAAACATCAGGAAATGTTTGTATTTATTTATTTATTTATCTTAAAGAGAAAGACAGAGAAAGAGAGAACACAGGTGGAGGGGCAGAGGGAGAGGAAGAGAGAATCTCAAGCAGACTTTGTACGGAGTGCAGAGTCCAACACAGAGCTGTCTCATGACCCTAAGATGACCTGAGCTGAAATCAAGATTCGAATGCTTAAACAACTGAGCCATCCAGGCACCCCAAGAATGCTTTCAAACTGCATTTAATTCATACTTCATAATGTATTACAACTTGTGCCATCTTAATTAAATATTTCCATAAGGGCCTCTGTTATATTTTTTAATTTAATTTTATTTTATTTTTGTGTGTTTTCCAAAATTCATTGTTTATGCTATATTTTTTAACCAGAAACAACAACACAATATTTTATTAAATCTTAACATACATTTGAAGAATTGATTCTCCCAAGAGATCAGAACCGTTACTCTTGATGTGAAACCTTTTTGTTTACATAACCTCAACTACTCACCTTTTGCTCATTTCTGACACTTGGAAACATTGAAAAATATAACCTTGTTCATATAGCTCTTGGGTTTCTTGCCATAATAAAGAGAAATATTTCAAGGATTATATTAAAGTCTCTGAACTCTTAGAAGACAATTTTTAAGAAGATAAAATATAGAAAAATATAAAAACTGTGACAAAAGGACTCTTCTATGGTAAAAGGGAGGCAACTGAAATATAAATTATAGTATATCAAAAATAATCCTATCTCTTCTTGAAAATGTGTTAAGACATAAACAGGGACAAATTCTGATGGTAATCACTTAGCAAGATTCAGCAAATTACATCTTCCTAAAAGTTTTTTTTTTTTAAGTTTTATAAAGAGGCGTAAGAAATCCATTAGCAAAATATGAAAAACATAGCTTTCAAAGATTCACACTTCATTAGTAAATTAACTACTGAATGAAGAATGCAGAATGGGTTGTGTGGAGATAGTTGTATGCATGGGTGGAAATGTATTTAGTCATCTTTTTATGTTTCTTAACCTATCTTTTTAGCACCTAGAGGAACGGTTTATCATTTATGAAGCAGACCAAAATATCAATAGGGCAGCTTGTTTCACATTCTGCAACTTTGCTTTAATCCATAACCAAATCATAGCAATGTAAAGCAACAAATTCATTAAATGTTTTTAAAAACACTTTCTCAAAAACTCTTGTTATTAAATAAGTGTGAGGCAGTTTTATTAGCTATTGTTATACTATATATAAGTTATAAATCTATATAACTAATTTAAAACCCTTTGAGGGAAAATGTGTTATGCTTCTAACAACTAATTTCAGAAAGACATAGCAATGGTGACAAATGACTTTTATTTTCAGGGTATATTTTCATGTTCTTCTATGTACTCAGTGAGGTTTTTTTTTTTAAGATTTTATTTATTTATTTGACAGACAGACATCACAAGTAGGCAGAGAAGCAGGCAGATAGAGAGAGAGGAGGAAGCAGGCTTCCTGCCAAGCAAAGAGCCGGATGTGGGGCTTGATTCCAGGACACTGAGATCATGACCTGAGTCAGTGAGGTTATTTTGATGTTACTTTATTTTGGATCAAAGATTTTTATTAAAAAGTTAATCATTATATATATATATAGAGAGAGAGAGAGAGAGAGAGAGAGAGACGAGCAACGGAAGTATATAAAAGAAATAGTAAAGTTGTCAATCTAAAGCATGTATTAAAAACATAACACACTCTTTGCTTTATATAGATTGTTAAGCAATTCATATAAAAGAAAAAAATGTGAGTAATTTTATGGCTTTAGATTTTAAGACTTGAATCTCATTCCACATTCATAAAGTGTTTATAATTAGTGTTTATAATCTCGTTCCACATTCATAAAGTGTTTGTAATTAAACAACTAAGCCTAAATATATCCAAAGTTATGTCTAATTTGAAAATAGATGTGCAATAAAATCAGTGAATTATAATTTAGCAGTATTTATATTATTGGATAACATAATAAAATTTATATTAAAATGTTACAAATATGTATCTGAATTATATAAGGTGTTAATAATGCTTAGCTTGAGTGTTTAAATATTGTAGATAATCATTTCATTAATGGATTTTGCAAATCTCTCAGGAGGCCTAGTTGAATCTTGGAATGATTAGCTTTTATTTTAACACTGATGGGAAACTATTACAATGGTGTTTAGCTTATATGATTATGATGACAAACATTTGTGAAACAACAGCTATCCACTATCAGAATTATCCTTTGTCTACCATATACCCACCTCCAAATGTTCAGGTTAGTGTGGAATACATATCTGCAACAGAGGTGGTTCCCAAGAGAAACACCTGCTATTTTGTCTTCTTTTGCTTAATGAGTGAGTTTTAAGACCCTGGAAGAGCACATGTTGTATATTGGGATTTTTTTAAGGCAAGAAACAGTGAATGAGTAAATGAATGAATGGATGAATGAGTGAATGAAGGAATGAAATGGGTCAGCAGTAGAGGCAAAAATTTTAAGATATGGAGAGAAAACTCTTTGATACAGATAGTCAGGTAAAACAGATAACCAGAATAGAAATGTACTATCTCTGAGTGTGGGCAGCAATGACATCAAACCAGGAGTAGAGCACATACAGTAGAAATACTCTGGGTATAAATATGAGACTGATTTAGTAAAGGCAAAATACGATGCTGTAAATTAAGCCAGCTATTGTAGTAGTTAAGAGAGGTTTCATTGTATCTGACATCAATATACGTAAAAATATTTAGGAGAAAAAGCTGATTCTAGTCATGTATACTGAAACCTTTGTAGCAGACATTTTAGAAATACCACCGAGAAAAGTGTCAGGGTCTTATCAAAACAGAGTAGTAGGAATATACTTTTAGAAGTCATGAGATTTTGCAAAGTAAGAGACATTTTTACGTGAAAGGATAGATGTTATTTTGTCCTAAAGCAAGAAGAGAGAATGCTCGTGTTATGTGATCACATGATAAAACAGGGTTAATTAAGCGCTCCTTATAGAACAGGAAAGGGGAGGAGAATGAAGAAAGAAAATATAACCACCCAAGTAAAGCAAAATGATTACTTCTCTGGCATTACTTTAATAAATTATCTCTTTCTAAGTGTTAAGTAGTAACCTATGGCACTTAGGAAGCTCATGCGACTCACATGAGTTCCCCTAGAAAACTATTTATTCACCCTGGACCACATTAAGATCAGGACCTAAAAATTTATAGCTTTCACTCCAATGCAGAGTTCCTTACTAAGATAATATTCTATCCCTTGGGGAAGAATAACTTTAAAAGGTTAAGAAGATGGTGGCAGAGCAATTAATTTCAAAAGTTGCTTTTAGTGAGGACTTCAAGCTATGTTAAAGAGATAGGTCACTGACTTAAAATTGTAATATTTTAAACTACATGTTTTATGTATTTTTTTATGAGTAGGAAACTTATATTTACAATATTCCAGTGGAATCCAGGAATAAACATAGTCAGAAATATCTTATAGTAAAATAAAGTCAGAAATATCTTATAGTAATTCCACTACTATTATGTTCCCAACACATAAAATAGAAGAGATGCAATGTGACGATCATAGGAAATACATGTTATTATAATTTATTACGTATCCTTCATTCCAGAATGTGTTATATTTTTTGCAGAATTTTTTATATTTTAGAATATAAGCAGATGAAATGAAATTCAATTGAACTATTAATAAGTAATTGATGTAAAGAAGAAACATATCAAATCATAATAAGTCTCTTGATAATTAACATATCAGTCTTGTGCAAAAAATAAATGTAACCATTGGTTTTAATTAGGCAACAACTAATATATAAAAAGTTATATTAAAAATAGTAATGATTAAGTACTTTGTTCAACCACAAATCTAACATTAATTGATTAAAATGTTAATAAATTAAGTAACGAAATGAGGTATGTTTTTTTTTTAACTAGAAACATCAGAGTTTGCAAACATGAAAATGTCTCCTGTTGAATTTCAGTTTTTATCATTTAAATTATCAAT